AGCATCAACACCCTACATCATTCAACATGCATGGTTATTTACTTTATTAACAATCTAACTATAAAAATTATCTAAAAAAAAAGGAATATGGTTTCAAACATACAGTAAAGCTCCCTGTGGCTGTAGGGAACCTTGGCTTCTTTTTCTTGCTACCTGAGGTTGAGGCGCCTTCACCTCCCTGAGGTTGAGGCGCCTTCACCTCCCTGTTTCTTTCTCTTCTTTTCACCCTGGAACCCATAAAGCATGTTCATTCAAGCATCTACTAAATTCATAGGGGAGAAATACAGTTTCAAAGGGAAAAATATCCTCAACCACCAACTAAATTATAAAAAAAAAGGTATATATTTTTACCAACCAAAAGTAATCATACTTACAGTGATTTTCACTCCTGCACTCTCATTTTTGCCTTTTGCATTGTTAGATGGGCATGTTCTCCGATTGTGCCCTTCACTGCCACACACCTTGCATGTCATTTTTCTCCCTCTTCCAGTAAGCTTCCTAAGCTTCCCTCTCCTGATCTTTTGTGGTTCACCTTTATGTCTTCTTCTTTTTTTCCTTGGCCTCCCTGGCATGCTCTTAACAGGTGGTGGTAACAACTCTTCTTCACCCACAGCCTTCCATGCTTTTGTCCCCTTCCTTATGCATTGAAGAGGGTATGCATAGGCAGCCAAAAATTTTTCTTTCTTATAAAAATCTGAAATGTAATCATCTACGCTCCACCTTTTGTACCTTATGCAAGCCAAAGCATGAGGGCAAGGAACCCCCGAGAGTTGCCAGTATCTACATGTGCAAGTGTTGTCATTAAATTTGACAACATGCTGATCCCCACCATCATTAACCTCAAACTCATTAACCCCATTTGGCTGCACACTACATCCCTGTGACTCTGCCTTCAGTTCCTCAACCTTTTTTCTGATTCTAGGAGCAATGTCATCACCTTCAGGCCATTTTTCTGCAAACAGCCTTTTATCTGCTATCCTAAGCATCAACTGATCCCTAATTTCATCATTCATTGCAATTATTGCCTTACACCTTGCCCCTAGTATCCAAGAGTTGAAAGTTTCACAAATATTGTTGTCAATTGAATCACATTTACAATTATCCTGGATAAATGCTTTGCACCAATGCTCTCTAGGGTACTGTAACAAGTCATCATGTCCTTGCCTATTCTTTGCAAACAATTCACCTAACCTATCAATGAAATCATCCCCAAATGTTGCCTTTGCACAATTCCAGAAGCAGATCTTCATCTCATCACCTCTATGACCCAACTTTGCCCAATTGCAATAAATATGTCTTGCACAATGCCTATGCTCAGCCTCGGGTAATATGAACTCTATAGTGGATATTATAGCTTATACCAATAATTAAAATCAACAACAGCAACAATGAATAATTTTACAACAATTAACGTAAAGTATTAATAATTAAAAAATCAGCACATAAATAAAAAAATAAATAAAAGCTACTGATGTGTTCACCTGATGTTCATCTGACATAACTGTTAGGCCTGCACCACTGCCAAGATCTAAATCAGTTTTCAGTAATTCAAAGAACCACTGCCATGACTCAAGACATTCAGACTCCACTACTGCCCAGGCAATTGGAAACATCTGGTTGTTCCCATCCTTCCCAACCGCAGATAGCATAATTCCCTTGCATATTCCCTTCAAGAAACAGCCATCAACACCAAAGAACCTTCTACACCCATCCTTCCAACCTTGTTTTAGGGAATGCAGACAAATATACATTCTATGGAAAGTTCTAGTTTCACTAGAACTTGTTTCAGTGGCAGTGACAACAACAGTATTCTCTGGATGGCTCTCCCTCAATACTTTGGCATAGCTCTTCAAGTATTTGTATTCATCAACATAGCTACCTTCCAGTTGTGTCATAACATGCTTCTTTGCCTTTTCTGCCTTGTCAAGTGTGATGTTCACTTTAATTTCAGCCTTGCACCACTTAACAATCTCGGATGGCTTTGTAAATGGTGCTTCATAAATCCTTCCTTTAAAAATATCTGCTACAACTTTGTAAGTTACAAGCTCATTGTCATAAGATTTGAAGCATCTATGCTCACTATAGTATGTCTTGACCGCAAAACACTCATAGTTTGGGTCATAAGAGGCAAACAACTCCCATTTGCACCCTGTTTGGCATCTGAACCTCACCCTAGTACGTTCATTCCTGACCTTTCGCAGTTGAGCTTGCTTTTGTATGGAGTATTTACAAACTGCCAATCTAAATTGCTTTGCATCTTTGAATCTCATCCCAATATCAAAATATGGGACCTTCCATTTTGGGTTATAGTAGACATTTCTGCTAACAACATGATCTGGTTCTGGTTGCACAAGGATGTCATCCTCATCATCTGAATTCCAATGAAATTCCCAAGCACCAGGATCATCACTGTCTGCATAATTAGACTCCCTGTCTTCTTCATCTGTAGAGGAGCCATTGTCATCACTGACAGGTAGTTGCTGCGTGCTGTCAATTGGATCACCTCTTCTCACCCTATCTCCACCACCTTGTCTCACTTTATGCTGAGCAACAGTTTTCTTTTTTCTACCTTTACTGCACGTTTCCCTTGCAGTTTCTTCTATACCAGCAGCATCTGTCACAGTAGCTTCCTAGACAGTAGCTTGATCATCTGTGACTATAGGTTGCTGTTGTTGCTGGACAGTTGGTTGCTCTTGAGTGACTACCAGTTCTTCAACATGATCATCTTCTTGCTCATTTTCTTGCTCATTCCTAGTTGCAGTATGCACCTTTGCCTTGTTTCTACTGCTTATTCTAGCATTTCTCCTTCTCTTCCTAACCTCATTTGTCAACTCAGCAATACTGACTTGCTCATCATTAGTGTTGTCACTCCCCAATGACCATGCACTATCATCTGAACTTGTCTCCCAGTCAATAACTGACACATCATCACTACTTTTTTCACTTCCTAAATTACCCTCATCCCCATGCACAGAAATATCCCTACTACTATTGTCACCCTCATCATCTTCAGCATCTAACACTTCCTTATCATTACCTACTGGTCCTGTGAGCAATGGTGGACCCTCAACAATCTCAGGTATATTGATGTCATGGTCTACATACAACTCCACATTGCCAGCATATGAAATTATATCATTCATCTCCCTAATTGCACTGT